ACTATTCAAGCTATTTTCTTACACGATTTATATTTTGCAGATGTTCCAGGGATCAGAATGAGATGCCCTCCGATCTGGCCACTCTTCCACCTCTAACTTTAACATGTGAGGTCATTCAGTTCTTTGGCATCACCAGCTCATTGGGTTTCTAAACTCAAAAATCATGGCTACAGTCGGGGCTGTTTTGAGTGAGAACTGATCATTTTCAAATGTATGTTTAGACAGAGGTGGGTGGAGTTACCAAATACTGGGCATTTGTAAATGTATCTTTACCTTGTAATAAATTCTCAATTTGTCATCATTAACTACTTGAGAAAGAATGTGTCTTGTGAGAAGACTTCGTAATTTCTATCTGCTACAGCCAGCATATAAACAATTAACCTCTTGAGACACCAAAGTCACATAATAACAATAATCATTTTTTTGCACGGAAAAATTACTGTTTTACTTTGAAGAGAGCATAGATGAATATAACGGTTTAATTTTCACATTGGAAAGGGCTGTCTGATGGCAAGATAAAGCACACTTAAATTGATATCGAAGTACCATACAACCCCATTTCAAAAAAAAAAATCTGAACTAACCCTTTAAAGGACCAGTGTGTAGGATTTAGTGGCATCTAGTGGTGTATTTGCAGATTGCAACTCACTTGCTTTACCCTCCCTTTCCAAATGTGAGGAAGAAACTATGGTGGCCACAAAACGTGCGAAAAACGCAAACAGCCCTATCTAGTGCCAGTGTTTGGTTTGTGCCTTCTACTGGGGGCTACTGTAGAAACATGGCGGTTCAACATCGTGGGCTCCATGAAAGCTGACCTGCGGCGTCTGTAGATAAAAACAGCTCATTCTAAGGTAATGAAAACCTGCCGATTCTTATTTTCAGGTATTTATACACTAATGAAAGCACACCTATGAATGTTATATTCCATTTCTGACCATTTATCCTCCCATATGTTACACACTGGACCTTTTTAAGGTGGTTGAAAGTATATATTACAGTATAATATATTATTACTAGGGATGTCCCAATCCGATCTCAACGATTGGTATTGGTGCTGATCGGTTATGTTGAGCTTTATTGATCCGATCTTTTGTTTTATGTTGTTTACTCATCCAGCTTACATGCATGGTGCAGCCATTGTCATCTCTCTCGCTGTTTCTTTCCTCCACTCTGCTGTGTGTGAGCGGGAAGAGAGAGAAGAGGAGAGTGAGAGAGAGGAGAAGAGAGAGAAGAGAGGCAGCCCCAAACCTGCTTTTTTATCGGAAGTTTTTATGGGCGGGAACTGCTGTGTGCTTCGGAAGCCAGGAGAGCGGGTAAAGAATCCCCAAAGCGGTAGAGATCCAACACAACCACAATACCCACACCACTGCAAGTGCAACAATAAAAAGCCAATAAGAGTAATTATTGTAATGAATGTAATCCACGGAAAAGATGTAGAGACGACGGAAATAAATCGGGTGCTAATTATTACAGTAGCCACTCATTTCATTCTGCCACTGCTGCGAGTAAGGGGAATTCTGGCTCTTTTTAGCAAGGTTATTTGGCTCATTTCAGCATTTTCACACATCACTTAGCTGTGAGGTATTGATTCTTTGCAGCATAAAGTATGTGTGTGAGAAGGGGTGACACTAGAGGGCAGCAGAACGTCAACACAGTGCCAGCATCCTGGTTTCGGAGAAACGCGAACATGCATGTGCACAGCAGGGAATCAAACCCAAATGGCAGAAAATTTGTGTTTGTGTTATGTGACAAAGAAAATTACTTAAATGACAACAATAGGTAATTCAGAGGCATCTCTTGCTTCCTAAGAGAATATGACATTATATTTGAGGGGAGGCAAAGTTTAAAATCTTTTAAAATGCCCTTCCATTAGTTCCCGGAAAGCTCTGTAATGGTACACATAGAAGAAACAATAATTATCTATAATGAAGTTAATAATCACAATCTTAGTTATAAGCATAAAAATAAACAACCACGACTACCCCTTACGATGAAAATGTGCCGTTTTTTATTTTGCTGACTGTCGAACAGGCTGTCTCTTCCCCAGCCTCTCTAAATGTCCTGCATTCATTTGAAGTGAGATCATTGACCAGGCAATGGGCCTGCTAATGAGACATTTATTGGTATAGTTAATCAAATATCCCTCGATGATAGTTTACTGCAGGGCCACGGCAATGATGCAACCATGTGTCAATGGACAGACAGCTGCCTGTTTCAAAGAAAGATCTAAGTGGCCTAAGGCAGTGCCTGTGTGTGCACGTGTACCTGTGCTTGCAGGCGCTTTGAACGGAAGGAACTTGATCCTAAAGCAGGGTTACAGAAACCTGATTACAGGTTAAATTGAAGTGATCTCTGTTTGACATCCAAGGTCTTTGTTTTTAAGTGTGGAGTGGATTGTTAACTGAAGTCCTGTTCTTAGGCCTCAGTATGCTTTAAACAACGTTCCTGTCAGATCGTCTAACAGCATCTGAAACCCTTTTTTCCAAATGTTAGGGTTTAACTTCTCTCTTAACCTCGTTGTGTAAAACTACAAAGGCATGCAAAAGACTTTCTTTCTTGGAGAGATCCGGCAGGCAGTGGTTGCAGTCGGGGGGGGGGCTATAGGTATATGCACTGCCACCTTAAACTTTTCTGGATATTACCCGAGCTGCATGTGTGTCACCAATTGGTCTGTGGAGTACCGTTTTGAAGCCTTGAGTTTGGCATTATGTTGTGTTTTGCAGCCAGCAGCGGTGATGTACTGTGATTTGAGGTGTGTTTAGTTTCGACTCCTGCTTGAAACTATTAATTGAGACTATAAACTGTAAGCTGTTTACTGAGCTAATCTGTCAAGTGAGAAGTAGACTAATTTCTCCATAATACTTAATACTATTGGCTTTCTTTTTTGCAGCCACTGGTGCTGCCCCCTGCTGAGCACTAGAAAGAATGCAGGTGGTCAATGGTGTGAATGCAAATGTCCAGATCAGTTGAACGGGGTATTAATTGTGGGGTCAGTCATTTTGGAGAAAGCTTGTTGAGTCTATATCCTGGGAGCTGGCAGGGTATAGTCTGTGTAATGCAATACTAATAATGCAATAATGCAAAAACAGGCATCATGTGTTCTCGTCCCACTCCTGCACGCTCTACGTAGGTGCCACCCTTTGCCTAAACTAGACATATTTCCAACATGTGAGAACACTGACATGTACATTCTCCATCTGGACCTGATTCTCTGGACATTGTCCAGAAATTCATATGAGAAAATGGCTTTTGACAGCAGGCTCTTTAACCACCACTCACTCTGTGGCTATTCAGAAAAAGTAGAGACACTTTAGACTTTAGACGTGGTTGGTCTACTTGTTACTTTGAAACCATTGAGCCTCCTTTTCAGGAAACCTGCCAGCCAGTTGAGTTTGTTCTGAGGTCATTTTTGATGCATACTGTATGTAAGTGTGTGATAGATGTGTCATTGCTAAGAAATAAAAGAAATATAATGAAAGGAAAGTGACTTGTGTCCATTATGACGAAAGGATAGAAGGGGTATAAATAATGGCATGACGATAATTCAGTTCCAGCCCTTGACCAATTAGACAGTCAGCTAGCTGTCTGCTTTTGCTAAGACAATAAAGAATAACTGCTAAATGCATTAAGTTAACCCATTCGATTGACATTCATACACAAACAAAATTACTGTTACCCTTTGTATACTTATGTTAAGAATGTGTGTATTTAAAGGAGTTTGCACTTGTACAGATTGTCTTGAGGCATCTGACATGCCACAACATCATAGATGTCTGCAGGAGAGGATTGTGGGTATGCATGCAGTTTTACCTGGACACCAACTATCGCCAGGACTTCATAAGATAAGATAGCCAGGGCTTCCAAAGCTTCCATCTCATGGATTATCACGCTCACAATACTCGGATTAACTGCAGCAGAGAAACCTGGCTGGCTAATCTTTTCAGTGAAGCCGTCATTCCCACAGACTTCATTTTTTGTGTGTTTGTGGACAGCAGTTACTGACTTGTTCAATTATTGTCCTCTTTCTGATTAAACACTTCAGGTTGATGGGTGCAGGAGATGCTGGTGACCTGTGCAGGGAGTGAGCTGTTGGGCTGGGGGACTATTTGATGAGATCAGGGGTTTAGAGCTGAAGATCAAATCTACTTGATGGACCAAAGCTAAAAAAAAAGATTTAATTTCTTAAACCCAGGAGACCTAGTCAAACTTCAAAGTTTCAACTCTGCATATGTTTGGGGATTGTCCACTGGAAATGTACATTCTCTATTCAAAATGTTATTCTTTCTAATAATATAGTATTCTAATAATATTGTTGGGAAAAAATATTGGTATAAATAGACTCACTGGTACTCTCTAATGGCCTGAAACTTGCTTTCAACACAGCTTTAAGCACAGTAACCCCTGATGAAACAACAACAAGATGAACAACAGCTAGCACTTACCTTTGTGGGGGACATCACATGTAAAATCAAATCACATAAAATAATTGTGATCAGCTTTTTGCATATTGTGTTGATGGAGGAACTTGTGGATTACATAGATTGGTGTAAATATCCACCGTGAAAAGAGCTGAGTTTGTTTAAAATTAATTTCCTGACGTGAAATTGCCCAATAGTGACTCCTCCAGGTCACTGCAGATGTTGTGGTTTTCAATGGGCAGGCTACAGAAGAGAATGAGCCTAAAGTTGCAGTTGCAAAGTGAATTTTTGTGAAGCTGAATTAATGCAAGTCTAACCCCCTCTAGTGGTCTTGCAGCTGGTGTTTTTGGCCGCAAACTGCTCAGTGCAGACGTTTGCTGTGACAATACACACTATCCCTGTGTATGAAAGAAGCTCAGAAAGAGCAAGACTTACCTAAAACTCTGTATATTCATGAAAAGGAGTATTATGCATGTCATGTCTTTATTGTCACTTTCATCATCATTCAGTGCTTTACACTGAGGTGTTGTGTCCACTCACTGTTGTAAAAATGTGTGATTTAATAGCGAGATCAGTACTCACGGTCATTGCACTGTGTGCCAGTGTAGGAAGTCATGGAGCAGTCGCAGGTGTAGTTTTCCCACTGCTGGATACAAATGCCCATGTTGGCACAGGAGTCCTCCTGACATGTGGTGCTGGGACCTGTGGAAGCCCAGCCATCCGCAAAAGCACACATCCACACAAACAAACACAAACACACATACATTCTTACATTACCAACAATGGACTATCAGCTTACCGACCAAGTGTGGACCTCTGTTTCTGGTCAAATTTACAGTCAAATATATCAGTGCAAATGTGCTTTTTTATTTCTAATTTCTAAGAAATTGCCATGAGTGGACTTCTATAATCTACAGTAGAACTGTCTGTATCCATTCCTTCATCAATTTTTTTTAATGCAAATATTTTGTATTTTTTAAAAATGGTGAAAGGCATCATGTGTATGTACATGTACACACAGACAGAACTGGGTTTAATGCAATACAAACTCACTGCAGGCTTAACCATAACCATATAAACTGAAGCAAGAGTCGTCTTTAAAGGGACACTGGTTTGGTCTTCAACTCTGACAGCACTTGTTTCACATACACCCACTGCCCCTTGACTGATTCTCTAAAAGATTAAATTTCAGACTAAAGTCTGCTGTACCGAGAATTTCTTCTCTTCACTCCTGTTATCAATATGAAATGACCATGAGGCTATGGGGTTAGCATGGATTGTCAAAAATTGTTTGATTTAATTGGGACTATCGTCTAGTCTATAGTGTCTGTGTCTTTTATCTTGTCCAATCACACAACTTATTATCCCTCCTCCTTCTAGCATTCCTACTGGGAAATCCACTGATGCACTGCATCTCTAACTAAGTCCTGCTCAAGGAGAAGTCTTGGTCTGAAATCTCGGGAGTGGTGAGGACTTGTTGAAGAAGACTAACAAGCGGATCAAGCAAAAGGGACAGAAAATTTTTCATTTCTCTGCAGGGTTGTGTTGTCCGACACTTTCCCCATCAGTCACTTGGCCACAAGAATAGTGGAAAATAAGGTCCTGGTTGAAAAATCCTGTCGTTACCCTTTAAGCCCCAAGTCTTAACCTTCTAAACTCCAGTCCTAAACAAACCTATTCATGGTGAAAACATGAATATTCTTGACAGAGACATTTTTATGTAAAGTCTGAAGTTAAACTTGTGACATCCACGTTATGTGTCTTAGCTTTACACCTCTACTATAAAAAAGTAAGGATGGGCAGCAGAGAACTTTATGTTGACATTTTAATACTTTTTGTCCCACAGTGAGGTCAATTGGAATCCACACTGCTTTGCTCTGTGATGGACAAACTTTTGCAAAGATGCAAAATGGTACTAGGATTTAGATTATGAAAAATTATTAATAATAATTAGAGATCCTACATATTTAAAGATCATTTGAGTCACAAAAATAAATAAAACAGCATAAACAGTGATTTATAAAAAATGCCACTAGAAACATCTGGCGTCCACATTAGACCTAATGGTGGGGGCACAAAGCTGGTTTAAGCTGGTAGTTGATATGTTATGTATGAATGTTTGATACAATATGTTTTTATTTGTGTGCAGTATCACTTCAGTCCACCATGTTGCCAAGTGACTGTACATGAATAACAAATTTTTCTGACTCAATCATCCAATTATTGTTTTTCCAAAATATGTCCTTACACATTAATGTATATACATTGTCACAACAGCAGAGTGACTGCCAGTTTACATCAACTGATCTAACTCATATCAGGCTAATGTGTTGAGTGGGGACTTACCTGGTGAACTGATGCCAGCTGCACTGTTAAAGAGCTGTTCAGGACCGAGTGAACTGATGATGAGTTGGAGGAGGGGATGGAGTTTTGGAACCTACAATGACTTACAGTGCAGGGATATTCTGCAAACTCCTTTTATTTCTGGTGACTGATCCGCTGATCTGGTTCAGGATTTCATGTAAGATGTAACAACAGTAAAAAGCTTATTCGTGTTACTTCTGCTGATAGTGTTCTGTTAGATGTTTGCCAGTAGTGTAGTATCACCATCTAGTGACGAAACAATGTATTGCTACTACCTGAGCATTTTTTATGTGATGAAAGCTCGTAATGAAATGCAGACAGTACGTGGTAATACAGATTAAATGGCTAATCAACTGATCATGATACATTGGCAAAAGAAAGAAAAGAAACCATACAAGCACACATAAAAATGAGACATTAGAATGCCATGGACAAGACCAACAAAGTGTGATTGATGAGATTTTATTTTGAAAAATAAATTAATCAACCATTACTTTCTTGAAGTACATTCAGCACAGTGAATAACATTGTTCTCAACCCCATTCAGATTGTCACAGCGAGGAGGACATACAGTACACATACTGTTAAGCTCTGTTTTGATTTAAATGAAACATCAACTAACATTTATTTGTCCAACACGGGGCTCTGTAAGTTAATGTTAAAAAAACAACATACAATACATTCAATGTCCAACTGAATGATATGGCAGGCATAAGAAAAAAACAGCTGTACAGAAAATGATTTCCATGCAAACAAGAACAGGTTGTGGATGCTGGCCCAGAACCTTAAGAGGATGACAAAAACAATCACAAAAGAATGCGCGACTTGCACAGGAAGATGGAAACATTTTGCTCACAGTGACATACGCTTGTTCGTGCAAAATGTTTCGACAGCCTATTTTGATGTAGCTATATGCATGAACTGTAAATCAGCTATAAACAAGCTTAGGCAAGTTGGAGTCTGGAGTACAATGCTGCTATGGTGTCACAGCCAGGTGTAATCCAAATTCATAGATTTGATGTTTTGTACTTTTCTTTGTACTCCCCTGTAATTGACCTTTGCTAGACCCCTACCCCAAATAGCGATTGTCCAGTCATAGCTTACCAACTGTAACTATGCACGGCTCACTACTTAGTAACATAGCGTCACTTCTAAAGCCAATAATTAAGGCTGTAGTTTTAGTGGTCCATCTCTGACTTACTGAAAATGTGTGCTTCTGTTTTAAGTCTATTTTTCTTTCGAATCATGTAGACACTATCTACATTAGTTTGGGCGATTAAGAGATTATGTTAGAAAAAGGTCCTTTTCAGGATTGACACATACACTGCATGGAAGATAACACCGGTTAGCAGCTCTGTTCTGCTTTGTACTGGGATTTGGGAAGTTTACCTGAGACAAAGTTAAACATATTGCCTGAAAATACTTAACACATAAAAACTATAACTTATAATAAATTCCTACTGTAAACAGCTGAAGATTAAAGATTCAAAGGATTCATTTGTCAAATTCATGAACTGTGGTATATTACAAGTCTATTCTTGCATTTTTTTCTTTGTATAATACTGCACTTTATAGGTCCAGTGTGTAACATTTAAGAGGATCTATTGGCAAAAATGGAATGTAATATTCCATTTATTCAATTTATCCATATAAAATAGGTATGTTTTCATTAGAGTATAATCACCTGGGTCCAATACTTCGAAACTTTGAATCTAGTTTAGAAGTCTCCATATAGAAGATGCCGTCACAAAGTGTTGTTTGTATTGTAATACAGATTCTGAACTTTTTAAATCTTGCCACTGACAAATACCTATCATATTATGATTAAAAAAAGTAAAAGTAATACTAAAACTAATAAAAACTAAACATTTTTAGACAATAAACAATATTGGGCCCAGAAAATAAGAATTGTGTTTTTTCTTACCTTAGAATGAGCTGTTTTTATCTACAGAAGGAGAGGCCCTCTTCTATGGAGGCCGCCATGTTTCTACAGTAGCCCAGAACTGACAAACACTGACTTTCATGGGTTATCAGTTGGTTGCAATATGTAACTTCACCACTAGATGCCACTAAATCCTACACACTGTTCCTTTAATACAGGATTAATAAAATACTTTGTAATACAAGAATAGTCCTATATTTCCATGGCCTCATGGAATCATTAACTGGTCATTATGCAGATTTGCTTTTTCTGGGATTGGTTAACATTAGCCAAGGTGGGGGGGTTTCATCATTACACAGAGTTAACATGATATTTTGTACATAGTCATCAAATGCATATTCTGAAACTGAGCTTTCAACCAACTCAAAAACTTAACGTTAGCTATGAGTTGCCAAGTGAAGTCGAGGATCCATTGTTTCAAAAATGACTACAAACCTCCAGTTATACCACTGTGTCACTGTAAACTATATATGTGCAGTTCTACAATTGAAGGCTTGACAAGCAAAATAACAGTTACTAAGTGGGATGGGGCTTAGTGAAGGGTCAATTTGATTTTAATAATTTAAAAAATGTACTGAAGAGCGAAATGTTGCTCTTAATCTATCTCTGTACAATCAAATTAATGTGACTTTGTGCCAACACACCTGAACCAGACAGTCATTAGGAGCTCTGTTCCTTCATTGTTTAAGTAACCAACCATTACCAAAATTCAGGAAAAAAAATTAACTTTACAAAAGCATAAGAGATAAAAATGGAGCACCTGGCAGTATTTTATGTCACTGCACTGGCAAAAAACTGCTCTTATGGTGATTGTGACGGCACTGTCAATGGGCGACCAATGTGGCCGATAACATGTGGTGGTGTAGGTGAGGTGTTGTGTGGTGTTTGGCCTGACTCTAGCAGTGGGTAAGTGAGACAACAAGTACAGTTAATAGGATAGAGGGGCTTCCGTATGGCTGCAGGGCTGTGGAGCTACTGTTTGCATTGAGCAGGAAGAAAGGGCTGCTGGAGCTGGAGTTGAAGTTTGTGTTGTAGTAGTCTAAATCAGGCTGGGATTTGAGGGACGGTGTACCTTCGCATCCACGTTCAATCTGTCCGCTGCGAAACAAGGCGTCACTGAGGAGATCTGGCAGGCGGCCGTTGAGGTCCACCGACGCCAAACAGCCCTGGAAGCCTTCTCTGGAAGCCACCAGTTTAGGCAGATTGCCATACATGCCAGGACCCAGTCCTGCGATGAACAGATCACCTGGGGCATAAGAAAAACAGACTGTAGGACAAGTATCTTAAACCATCACATACCTGGCGTAACATGAATATAACCATACAGAAGATGACTTATATAAATTGGTGAAAAGAAATAGTTGATTTTTGGTTTCATACAGAACATGAACAGCAGTCACCTTGGGTAAAAGTCCTGTGTTTGTTTGAACAGTCCATCCAGCTCACCTCAATATGTGGGCTTTGTTGCTCCTTATACTACATCACCTGACTTTGACTGTGGGTGCATCCGTTAATACCTACAGCATCATAAGCGGACGGCCACTGACTAATCTGCAGTATTAAACGACTTTAGAGTCAGACTGGGTTCCCCTAAACACATTTTTTGTGATGTGTAGTAGTAGTAGTAAGTAACCTTAAGTGTTGGTCAGTACAATGTCGCATAATATAAAATGTTGGGCAGTTAGAAGTGTCATGTCCTTTGCATACCTTTCAGGTCCAGGTTCTTGGCCCCATTGATACTCTGACTAGTGGCTATAGCGTCTACTTTCAGTGTGTGGGTGTTGCTGTTGTCTCGGGTGATGGCCACATTGTGCCACTGGTTGTCATTCAGTGCCCTTTCACTTTTGCCCTTGATGAGGTTGGGCCCATTTCCAAGGTCAAACACATAGTGGACGTACCTGCAAGACAAAAGTTACTGAATGATTATGTGTAAATCTTCAGCGCTTTGCCTTTAAAGCTTTTCTTTGAAATGTTCACACCCTAACAGCCTGAAAAAACATGGGTTCATTTTAATCAATGAGGTAGTGCAAAGTTAATTATTGGAATTTTGGTAGAAATTATATTGTCTTGTCAATAAAACAGGCCTATGTGAAATAATGTTGCATGTAAACACATTTTTAATGGGATAAAACTAACAACATTATTAAAAAGGGTCATTTAAAAAGACCTACAGGTCAGATCACATTGTAGGGTCAAGGGGACCTTTTAAATATCAACTTATCGACTTATTTATAAATTATTACTTATTTACTTATTTATGGACTTACTTTCTGTGACTGTAACCTGAGACTACTTGATGATGTTATTCTCTTTCTTACTCTCTTCGCTCTTTACGCCGCTCCCTCAAGCCAAGAACTGCTAAACCTACAATAACTGTTTGTTTTTGGCAGCAAATCATCTTTTAAGTTGATATGGCCAAGTAACGGCTGCTTATTTACAGAGCAACATTATCATGGAGTCATGTTTCTGTCCATTTGATGAATGTTAAAGGTCCAGTGTGTAACATTCAGGAAGATCTAATCTCAGAAATGGAATATAATATTCATGGGTATGTTTTCATTTGTGTATAATCACATGAATATAGGATTATCATTTTTTTTGTTGCTTTAGATGATTGACAGAATGAATGCCTTAGACGTTTTTGTCTTCAAACACTGTGGGTCGGGTGTTAGTTTCAGTCTGCAACTTCACTGCTCGATGCCACTAAATCCTACACACTGGTCATTTAAGTCCATTTTTCACTCTGACTTTAGCTCTGTTTTTGGTTGGTAGCTGTGGCTGTCTGCTGTTTGGTGCCAAGCAGGTAGTGTACAGTGGGTTTTTAGAGCTTTTCTGAACTAAAACAGAAAAGCTGAGGGAAGCTGCAGATTCAGGTGATAATTCTACTGTGAGCAATACCATTTACACATGTCACATTGTTATAATGAAAATACTGATTATAGTCACTTTTGGTTGATGATCAAAACATTTTACTGCTAAACCCTCAAGTTTTCAATGTGCAAAAGGTTAACAAACTTACCCTTTAACCAGCTCTACAGCGATGAAATCATTGCCATCTCCAGAGTTGAAGAGTATGAAGCCATCTGGGGAGGTGGTCTTGAACTGGAAGAAGAGGTGCATGGATGTGTAGGCCTGTAGGGTGGCCAGGCTCAGATAGCTACTCTTGGATTTGAAGGTGACGGGGTCGGCAATAATGGAACGAATCCCAAAGCGGGCATTGAGTTCGCAATAATCAATGTCACCATTCTTGCATAGGTCGATGTAGAGCATGCCGTTAAATCTGAGGAAAGAAAAGGAACAGAAATGATTGTTGTAAAAATAAGATCTTACTTGTTCTTCATAGTGTGGTGGAGAAAAAGACAGCCAAGGAAAATTGAAAGTAAAAATTAGATGGGGGACCCTTAGCCGAATGAATACCTTATTAATGCATTGTATTGCTTCTGGAGCAATTGACTTTGTTAGCCATTTGGGGGCAGAAGAACTCCACAACAAGCAAACTAATTATGAGTCTCACAAGGCATATTTAAACATTTGAATTTAAACATTCAACAGACACAAAGCAACATTGTTGATTATTGATTATCTGGCTTTTTCCATATTTCACATTCTTCACCAGCTTCTCATTAAATTTTTCTTCAGCACTGAACCAAACAGTTAAAGTGCGGTAAAACCAAAATAATTACCTAAAAGAGGCCAAAGAATTCCGTAAAGCTACAGAATTTGGGTGACAATTCTCTGAGGATTTGCTACGTTATCTTTTGATTTATTGTTAATATTATAAAAACAGTAATTAGTCAAATTTCAAACATTATAGAGCCCCTAACAGGAAATGGGTGGAAAAAATAGACAGGTTAAAAAAGGGGGAAAGAAAGCATACTTCTCCTGAGAAAGTTTTGTGTTCCTGAGAAACCTGCGTTCTCTTGCAAAACGTTTTCGTTCTCCCAAGAAATATATTGAGTAGAAAAAAGCACTTCTGGGTTCAATGCTTCACGTGTGTCGGAAATGGCAAACCAACGCTATGGAGAGGTTAATACGGTTGTATTTTGACCGTGGCCTTAAATACAGAGAAATTTAAGTCAGTGTTCACTTGTACGGCACAGCTGTAGAGGATGTTTCCTGCAGATGGACATTCTTGACTAAAACATATTGATTATTCTACATCCAACGGTAACCGTGAAATTGTCTGGAATACTGCCGTTAGTTGTGAATTAAATCACCTAGGTCCGTCAAGCTTGAGTAAGTTTTCCCTCAAAAACATATTAAGTCCAATAAAGTCACATTCAGTGCCCTATATTGCTAGTTTGTTATCAGTGAATAAAGTTGAAAGTTTTGCAAGAGAACACATATGTTTCTAAGAAAACACAAGTGGGGTTTTCTTCCACCATGTCTTTTATTTCTCCCCCACGTCCCCTTAGGGCAGTTGTTCTCAAACTTTTTCTGGCATGCCCCATTCAGAAGCTAAAAAAAGGTTCATGCTTTACCACCCAACATTTTGTATCAATAATTACCAATGATAGGGGAAAGCAATTAATGAAAAAGGATCCAAGTTTAATTTTAGTGAAATGATCGTCAACATGAAAGCATCAGCAAACTTTCTTGCCATCTTCCCTGCATAAATCACATTCCTTCAACTTAGTTGGCTGTATGCCCCACCACGGGGCCCCACCATACAGTTGGAGAACCACTTCCTTAGGGGCTCCATAAAACATACCGTAAAACTTCAATTAATAGGCTCAACTTGCCTTTATTTGTGACAGATGTCTATATGGGACATGCCTTTAATTCCTTATCCACAAAACTCTTGCTCAGCAAAGAATGGAAATCCTATCAGATTGTTTATTTAAACCAGTATGAATATTGCTTGTATAAAACTTAGGCTATTAAAGAAAATCTTCAAATACCAATCATTCATTTGATCATATGATACTTTGGTACAGCCAAGGAATTTTATATAAAATACAAATATTTGTCAAAACGTGTAGCCACACCAGCGTCTGTGTCTAACTGGGACCCTGCTTTTGCAATATAAATGTATTTCAAAAGTAAAGTAAAAGCAAGTTTTGTAAGTACCTAAGGCTCTGCAGATGACCAATGAAGCTGGACGGGATGCTGGAAACAAACCGACGCTCTGTCATGATGCCGGTTTCGATGTTGTGAAACTCCAGACGAGTGTGGTCACCCACCATTTGTCCTGAAGACGGGGAGGGTGGAGGGGATGGGTTGAAAAGAAAGACAAAAAACGAAAAGAAAAGAGAACACTGTCTGACACTAACACAAAAGGGCTGATTTAAGGAGAAAATTACATTAACAGTATTAGATGGATGCAAACTGTCACTAACATGCTTTCTTTGTAGCAGAATTACAAACTGATGACTGTCAATCTCTACGGCAACACACCACAGCATGGTGCACTACCACTGACAAGGCAACACTAAGAACATTTCGTCAAGCATGAACCGAGTTGATGCAGGTAAGTACCTTCTGCTACATCATCGTCAACCGTTAGCTTGTAGGTTTTGCCGCGACGCACCACACGCACTGTATGCCATTCATTATCATTGAGCTTTTGCCCGGCATACAGGGTCTCCGGTCCCTTGCCTGAGAACAATGGTCAATCACAAAGTTAAATACATCCTGAACCTAAAACCAAACCTTTGTTTTCCCACCATTCAGCCTGAAATAACTGGCAGAAACTCTGCTTTAGTTTAGTAGCTTAAAAATGGCTTAAAATAAAAAATTTAAAGTAGTTCTTATGCCTCTGGGAAACAAAGGTTTGGTTTAGTCAGTGAAATACACAGAGAAGAAAAATACAAAATATTTGACATCAGTAATTCTCAGAGTACACCTGACCACTGTGCTGCAGAACAGTCTCTAATAGTTTGAACAGAGAAAGGGCAACTACAGTAGGAGAATGTGCTTTTACTCATCATAGGCTTATAGAAATCTTTTCCTTTCACTTCTCGTTTTCTCTCCACTTTGACCATGAAAAGTAAACCAAAAACATCCCCAATAAGCTGAGCCACAGTAGACACCAGTCCAATATATGATGCTATTAGCCTTTTTGTAATCTATCCCCATTATTTTTCATCCATCAACATCAATGTTTTCCCATTTCAGGACAGGTTTAATGAGGAATTACATGTAAATGCTAGTGCAAACAATGTAATGCAAAGTCACAAATATTTATGTGGATAAATATCCAAAGGGACACTCTAACCCTGAGGTTAGATACCTACAAGCCCTCCAAACTAAATGTGTTTATTTTCAGTGAATGATGGAACCCATATTTTAAAACCCCCCAAAAAACTCCACCCACTAGCTTTTTTCGACTGCAGTTGAAAGCTTAGAACAGAACAGAAAACACATGAATAAAAGTGTGAAAAAGAAATCTGTTTGTTCATGTCTGTTGGGTTTAGGCACAAAAACAGGACTTGAAGTAGCACTGTCACAATAGTCAAATTCAGACGGTGTTGACAGATTTGTAGTATGAGCTGTCTTATGTTGGTATTTGACTCATGGCGTCATTAGGGCTGTAGTGCAAAAGCCTCAGTTTGTGTTGCTTTAGCTGGCAGAGGTGCGCCCACACACTACCGCAAATGTCCAACCCGCCGCAAATACCTCATGTTTGTTGAGTTTTGCCTCTTTGACTTTGCTCTACCATTTTGAATCTATTATATGCCGCATTGAAATTGAAATTGCTTGTCAAATTCTTTCCTTTGCCTTTATGAAATACCTGTAGGCATCACAGTAGCAGGAAGCATTTGTCTCCCAATATTAATTATCAGATCTCCTGACTTTCCAACAAGATTACAGGGCACAAATTTTAGCATTGTACTATTGTGTTTTGGCACTTGATGGTCAGTCGAGGCGCTTTCTTGACTCCATTTAAAGAGTCAGTTCACCCAAATCACATTAAAAATAATAATAATTTAATTCCCTATTAGCATCTGTTTTTAAATTTTTTTCATGGCTGTCAGGAGTAAGCAAAAACAGACAATATCTAGCACAGTGACATTAAGATCGTTAGGGATTTGATCTTTGTTATTCCTCTCTCTGGTCTCACTGTAACGTGTGTATTGTATCTTAGATAAAATTTCTCAACTGCACTACAGGCTCAGGAGCACAGAGCTATGACTTTATGTACCTTTGTCCTTTCTGTGTCTGAGAGCACATAGAAACTGAACTGTCCTGCAAACACATCTCTTTTATCCATGATCCAAACTTGCAAGAATATTTATAGTATTAAATGACAGTAAATTACTCTGATGGAGTTTGATATGTAATTATGTATCATAATAAAAATATATCAATATTTATATTCATATGATGGATGTAAAACCAAAGGTCACCATGGCCTCATTATGAGTAAAAGCAATCCATAGTTATTGGTGGAAGCCTGACACCTGCTATGCTGAGATACTATACACTATGTAGAAGCAGCAGACACATTTGTAACTGCAAATCAAGCTCAATGAAATATCATTCCTAAATGTATAATGTAGAAAGTAACCTGAAATAATTAAATATTAAAGCTATCACATTTAATCAGTCATGCTTTAACTACTGTTTAAATCTGGGTATTGACAGCTCAGCCATATTCATATTCAATATAAATATATTAAGTAGTCATAATTATCATATCATGTAGAACTTTCATTTCATTCTGAATGTGTCCTCATTTGGCTGTTTCTCCCTGTTGGGGTACTGCTGTTGCATTTGTTTTGGGTACTGCCAAGTTTCACCATGTTGGTAAGTTTACAACAAAGCTTTACAGTAAGTATCTTTCATTGTTAAATGCACACAGACCCGGCTCCATCTATGCTGTTTTAAGAGGATTTTAACACTCTCTAACCAATGTTTATACTGCATGTTGCCCTTTCTCCTGAATGCAACGACCATCTTTATTATTACACTGTTTTATACTCTTACAGTGTTGTAGATGTTTTGGTCTAATGGAATGTGGGCTTTTAAAGCATGAAGTACTGTCTCATGCACTACTCACCAGTTTCTATTGGTGCCCTATAATGGAATTTACTTGTTATTCATGCCAATTATGTATTCTTCATAATTAACAATAATTGGTGGCGGGAATAAGGATACACATTTGAGTTAGTAAAAGGGTGAGGGAATTAAAAATAGGGTCAGGGTTAAGGTTGTATAGCCTGTGGAGGTCCAGCAAATACACAAGTGTCCAACAGCTATTCTAAAATCATCAATATACTATCAAGTTAAGTGTTACTGGACTGTTACTATTTACAGTATCAAAGATATTTAGAATCACTCACTTTTTGTACTTGTAGACTCAATTGTTGGATAATGAATCAAAGTAGTACTCAGCTTGATTATAAGAAGTTCAGATATGTCTAATAATTAAAATAAATCACCACTTATTCCATTTGACTGAGGCTATTCCTGTTGGTTCCCAACCAAGTGAGCAAACTCCACATGATAGGCTAAAGAGAAGGCGGAGGGGTGGTGCAGGACTCACATTTTTAAAAAACACATTTCCTTGTAAAAGAAACAACATCAACATACCATCAACATAGAGAGCAAAATGAAACTTGAGTGTTAACTTACTGGAGTTACAGTTTATCCTGATACAGTCTAGATGGGGAAGAATAAATGACAGATGAAATTGCATCCTTCAAGGTTACTGCTGCAGACATCCAAAAACAAAAAGTCCACCCTTCCGGGGACGCACACATGCAGGAAGGCAGCCATTTTATTCCGTTGGTATTTATATTTATCTTTATGCCAAATTACCATTAAATAAAGATTTCCAACAACATAACTTAATAGTAAATAAAATAATGCATGAATTTGTCAGTCATAGAATTGTGCTGGTTAATAAAAGCTGCTTTTCTAGAGCTTGTACTCATTTGTTACCCATAGAACTGGAGTTAAAATTCATTAATTGTTTAGGCACAGTATTTACAGTAAAATGGCCACTTGTAGTACCAGCTACATGAGTTTCCCAACCCAGCACTGACTGTTTGATTTTAGTCGTAAATATTCAGATTAGAAAAGTCAAAGTCTCTGGCTCCAAAGCCTCCACACCAATGAGGTGGTAGCAGCCATCTGTTTTAGAGCCATGGATCTTTGAAAAGTCAAGAAATTCAGACTGATATCATTTTGATTTGCAAAATTTAAGACAGTAAAGTAATAATGAAAATCTGATGTATCTGAACAGTCCAGAATAACTGTTGTGTGCAGCTGAAGACAGTAAGGGTTGGTCACCATGTGGCTGGTGGTTTCATGTGTCGTCAACCGCAACAGAAAAGTGGGAGCAAACAGCCACGATCCAATCAGCACCAGCACCATGCAGAGGCACAGGAACCCCAACCGTCACATCTGGAGTACTAGCCTATGCTTACATGTGTCACTAAGATAGGTCAGAGGCTACATCTGTCAATATTTACACTTTTACAAACATTCTGTAGATCACACAGATTAACGTGGGCTAAGAAATCATAAGAGCACTGACCAATTAGAGCTGCAAATATGTCTGGGGGTATGCTTTACATGAATTAATATAATCAGTGAAGGGTTTATCTAAATGTGGCTTTGCAAAGCAGCTAATATCTGCTATAGGGCTTACATTTTCCTAAACATACAGTATAAAATATATAAATTGAGGCGTATGACTCGTTTTCCATTGTTGCATTCTTTACATTTAATAATTGAAAGTCTTTGGGGTCGCAGCCAGCTGTAGGTTTTGCTGGGCTCTGTTCTCGGGCTGTTCGCCTGACGGGCCGCAGGCTTAAGGCCTTTGAAGGGGTGAATACCATCTTTTGACAAAGCATGATGGGAAATGGAGTTGACGGGTGTACATAAAAACGAAACACTGAAAAAAAAATGCATAAACTTTCATAAAAGACACCATCATCAGCAAAGAAAACAACCACCCGGAAGAACAAGAAGGTGACAGAGAAATGACTCAATGTCAGACAGGAAAATTAGGTTAGTGGGAAAGACGAGAAAAGGTTCTTCTAATGTCCTGTTGAGTGTTGGACTGAAGATCATACTTGGTGGAGGTCATGTCTTAGAAAGTCTCAGCACACTTTGTTCTTTAAAAGAGCTATATTAGAGACTAGACTTTAAAGCCCAGGATCGCTACATCATATTGCTTTCTGGTTATTGTGCTGTGACTGTCTCAAAACTTCTGTAAACAAGAATATGGATATGACTATGGTTTGTCTGTTTCAAAGATGGGCATCAAACATGTTTACCATTGAAATAAAATAAGTTATGATGGTATAGGCATAAGTTCAGATGTTATCTAGTTGTATTCAGTAAGCAGTCCATAGCTATCTCTATGCACAAACCCAATAATATCCATGCAAAAAAGATAAAAAAAACTGTGTTATCTATATTATCTAAGGTCTAAACCTTTTAAAGGATCACAGTGAGGAGTAACTGACGAAAAGATAGTAAGAGTGAGAGGAGAAGGGGGGAGAGGGAAGGTAACTGCTCAACGGTAAACCGTTTCATGGTGAAGGTGGAGGTGTGGAGGCAGATGGGTAGGGTATGGGGGAGGGGCATACGATACCTAGGTTGACCGTGAGTTTGACACGACCCCCGTCCAACTCCAGCCTAAGCGTGTCGGCTGAGTCTCGGGAGGTGGTGGCCATGAGGAGGCCATAGGCCCGCTGGGAACGGAAGCGCAGGGAGACGTCCTCGGCCTCCGTGTGCATGATGGTCGGCATCACCACCTTCATGTACATGCTGCCGTCATAAGAGAGGATGGAAGCCTCTGTGTGAGGAAGTCAGGAGAGTAGAGACATGTTAGCCATATTACAAATAAGGTTGGAGTCAATATTATCTGCTGGAACTGGATAATACTCAATGTTGTCAAGCAAGCTAGTGGCTGCTGGGGGGCTACAGGGCAAAATGTAGCTTCTTGCCCCCTTCTGATCCCCCATATATAGTATAGTTACAGTATATATAGTTTTGTATTGCATTACTGAAATTATTTTAGTTTTATTTTGTGCTGTTGAAATTACTCCTTATTACTTTAGCAACATATTGCAGCATGTCTGATTCATTTCTGTGACGTATGCTGTAAGTTAGCACAATCTGTGCAATAAAGAAGTTACCAGATTTTTGTTAGAATGGAATCTTGGTTTATACTGAATAAATAAATAATAAGTTACTGTTGAGATACTGAAACTGTAAAGAGAACCATGAGAACAATTTGGACTCAGTAAAGTGAAATGTGGGCTAGCAATTCAAAAAAAAAAAAAAAAGACGTAATGCCATCATTTAGGCCATTGGTTCTCAGACTTTTTCTGGCGGGTCATGACTTTGCTATCCTGGGAAAGGAAATGGCGAAAGGATGCTTTCTGATACCACATTTCAGGCAGTATTACTAGTATAACTTCTGCCCAACATGCGTGAACCAATATAGCGGGTGCTCTTGGAGATGGCCACACAGTCCATGAAACCAAGACCTACCACTTTGTGATGCTCAATAAAAGATGCTGTAAGAAACAACAAGAAAGTGTGCAGGCCTCATCAGAACCCTGGCGAACCTGACCTGCTTTCCACAGTCACTCAACTCTTCCCCCGTAGGGTCTCTCATTTGCTGGTGTTTGGGAGCCAGACTGCTTGTGTAGCTAACCGTGCACTGAGCTCAGTGTTGGTTTCGGTTCACTTGGGTTAACAAATAGACGCAGACAGAAGCTTGATTTTTTGTCCATCACTGTCTAAATGAAAAGTCATCCTTTGTTGTAATCCGTCTCATCAGTCCCTCTGGCGTCTGCCATCACAAATATTATATTGTATAAGACCTGCCTTCTAGAAGCTTGGAAAGCAATCGAAAAAAACCATTGACAACTTCCGCCCATGACGACACAAACAGAGGCAAGCAAACAACAGTGTGGAAGTAGCAGTAGCAGAAAGAGTGAGGTACTATTACACAAAGGCTGCTTCCACTGCCAACGACAGCTAATCCCTGCCAAGAACAGGGTACGCCTCATTTATTTGGCTCCAGGAGTGGTGAAATAGCCTTCCCATGTTGCTCTATTTAGTTCCATGTCCTCGTCTGACCGCACACTGTCGACACACATCTTTGTACTTCAGATGGGCTGTTACACCATGCTGTGAGCTGATTCTGCGCTCATCATAGTGCTCAAAGTCTCTCTTACACACACGCACACACACACAGAAGAGAGAGAACAGAAAGTGTGTGTGACTGAGCTTGCATGTCAACACATTAATCTCTGTGACAACTGAGCAAACTCTATCCACAGATGAAGACCGTGAGATACAGTTGAAAGCTCCGGAACATGTGGACCTTGACTTAGGATTGTTTTGTGAAACATCACCATGTTGTGTTATGAATTATATTCAACATTGAAATCTTTAGGGGGTACCAGTAGGGTTCAGACTTCAAAGCCTCTTAGAGGATTTTCAGACATGCACTTCACTACATGATCTTGAAACCCTAAACGTTCAGTTTTTTGCCAATAAAGTCACTCTCAAATATACTAATATCAAATATCGAGTACCAAAAGATTGGATAGAGGAAGTCTTGCTGATATTAAGTGGTGCAGACAACCATGGAAAAAAACCAAGGCACTCCATCTTCAGGTGAAATGATATTATAAAATTTTTCTTCGAGCATATAGGCAATCAAAAAGACTTACAAACATAACCCATACAGGGTGCTAAAATAATAATAGCCCATACATGCATACATACTAAACATATGTGAATCTACAGTGAGGCATAATATCATAATAATAAGTAATTTACGTTAAGCTAAAATATATAAAACCTTGAAAAAACAATACTAATAAACTATATGTATATTTATGAATGTCCAAAGTAGTTGATATATGACTATGATACTCTTGTCCAGTCAGTATGCATTTAAATCTCCAAGTAAATAAGCTTCTTTCTTTTTTTTTTTTCCTGTAAAGGTTCAGTGTGTAACATTTACCAGGATCTATTGGCAGAAATCAAATATAATATTTATAGGTGTGTTTTCATTGGTGTATAATAACCTGAAAATAAGTCTTTTATATCTATAGACAACACGGGTCGCCTTCACTGGAGGCCGCCATGTTGAACCGGCAAGTTTCTACAGTAGCCAGAACGGACCAAAGTTATTATAGTTTTCATTAGTTTTAATTTTTATTTAGTTTCAATTTTGTTTTCAGTTCAGTTTAGTTTCAGTTAGTTTCCAGAGTGGGTTTGCTCCTTTTTTATTGTTAAATATTTATTTTTAGTTTATTTTTATTTATTTTTATGTTTTTTTTAATATAATAAAAATACGTATTACAATACAAACACACTGACTCACAGTCTCAATAAAGACATGTACTAATGCCTCCTCATGCTTGACCAAAACTAAAGACTCTCCTGAATTTTTTTTATTTTATTTTAGTGAGTACACAATATTGTTTCAGTTAGTTTTCATGTTTTTCTAAAGTCTGGTTTTTATTTTTATTTCAGTTAATTTAAATGTTAGTTTAAATTTTTAGTTTAATTTTAGAACAGACACAATGCTGCAGCTCCTCTTCCTCTCTCCTCTCTTTCTGCCCAATCATTCATGTCCCATTAAGCATGTTACTAACTGTCACTTCTTCCCCCGGAGTTCTTGTGCTTTCCTCGTCTCGCAGGTTCTCATGGGATCCTGGGTGGAGCTCCTGCCCAGCGCGTCCTGCTAGACTGCCATTGCCTCAAAATCCTGATATTAATGTTATTATATTTTATATTATGTTATTATTAAGTATTATTATTGCTACAGTTAGTTCTTTTCTATTCAATTGAGATTCCAAAACGGAAAATAAAAAACGGTTTTGTTATTTCCTCCAAAAAACATTATAACGGTAATTATTTTTTACTTCGATTACTTGCTCAGATCCAAAAATAGGAAATGAAATAAACAGGCCACGGGATTTGCATCTAGATCGATTTTTGATTTGAATATTAAATTGTCCGATTTGTGTGAACCTTGAAGGTATTGTTCTCTTCATGTGTTGCATTGGAGTTGCCGCAATTTCGCAAAGCCTGAAAAAACTCAATCAAGCAATCTTGTACTCTGATATTTTTGATGTAATTTCGTATCTGACACCATGGCCCGCACGGAACCATATGCTGATTGTAATTAAAGACTTATTTGAACTGGCAAGACAACATTAGGAGATTTCTACTAGCTGCCGCAGATGGGTATCCAGCGACATTTAAGTTCTGAAAATGAGTGTAAGAAGATTCTGTGGTTTCAGCTATGACCTTAATGCCGAAAAAGACATGTATCGGACACAGAACTAGAGAGGTATTGTTGGTATACATTATATGAAGTGGTTACACGTTTTTATATCCTGCCCCGTCTTTGAAATGTTTAACGAATAGCTTATTTTTCTTAACAGACGGGGCCATCTTATGGCCCGCAAGTTCGATGGACTGGCTATCTGTCTCAATGGTGAGTGCGTGTAGGAGAATGTTGGAGTATATGGGAAAATCCTCAGAGAAGAATTCATCAGCCATACCACGGAATTCGACGCCAGGGTAAAGTCATTATGCCTAAGAATTTCAATGAAACACCAATACCGGGCACCCGTTTAAGCTCAGTGGGGTACAGCTGGCGAACCATGTACCAAGGCTGAGTTGCTGCAGTGGCCCAGGTTGAATCCGATCCTTGCGGCCCTTTGCCTGCGTATCATCCCCTCTCTCTGTCCCCTTTCCTGTCTATCTTTCAGCCGTCACTATTATAAAAAGCACCGTAAAAATAAAAAAAACAACAAGTACAGATATTGTTATGCACTCTAAAATAATAGTATAATAATATTAATAACAACATCCATCAAAACCATAACATAAAGATCACCTGCTCGTCATAATTGTAGTTCCCCTTGCCACCAAAACAGCCCCTTAACAGTCAAGACAGGACCTCACTGCTGTATGCACTGTGTGTTCTGACACCTTTCTATCAGGAACCAGCCATAAATGTTTTCAGCATGTTGATCACTTACATTAGCCAATTCAATTTAATATTGTATAGTGCCAATTCATAGACGCAGACGTTATTCTCAGGACACTTTTCAAATAGCAGTAGGTCTGGCTAGGACGAACTCCTTATAACACTTTACAGAGACCCAACAGTACCACCGATGAGCAAGCACTCGGCGGACGGTGGCAAGGAAAAAACTGGCTTTTTAAGAGCAAAACCTAGGACAGACCCTTTGGCTCTAGGGGGTGGTCGGTCTGCCTCGACCAGTTGGGGATGAGAAAGAGAGAGACAGACAGAGATGAGAGGAGACAGAGAGACAGACAGACAGACGGACAACAGAGGGCACAGCAGACTACAGTAGCATACAACTAATTAGTAGTTGACTGAGGATGATTGAACAGAAGAAGATTTGATGCACAAACAACAACAACAACGATGCGGGGACAACGAGCAGTGATTCATAGTGGTAGATAATACGTAACTGTTAGCTTAATAATACTAGTAATAATAATAACAATAGTATCAGTAATTAATTAGCAATCAGCAGTTCAAGCAGTTTTCCTAGTTCCTGTCAGTACTCGTGCTGCAGGCTTGCTGAATTAATTGGAGCTGTCTTAGATGGAGCTTTACTGGCGCAGCCGATAATAAAGAGTTGCAGTAATTCAGCCAAGAAGCTAAAAAATACATGATTAGTTTTTTTGCATCCGTCTGTGACAGGATGTGTCTGATGTTGTAATTACGTAAATTACGTAAAACTAGGCTGCTAAAGAAGTCGTACCTAATTGGCCACTTCTTTA